TGCATGCCAGCAGCCTTTCACGAGGCCGAATGCAAGAGGCATTGCGGAAACAGCACCAGCCCCTTTGGCACGCCACGATCAAGCACAGCGCACAAACCCTTTATACGCGCCTTGGAGAGTTGGCTGCGGTGGAAGAAATGGAAGATCTTTTCAAGGCATCCGACGGGTCATCTGCTCGGGACCTCCCAGAGGAGGTCACCAACGCGGCCCTGGGGCATATTCAAGAACATGTACATCTGAGTGAGAAGCTGAGGCATTGCCATACGCCGATGTTGCTTCGACCAAGAGCATTCAAGCAGACAATTCCTTTCCATTCTGCAAGAGTGCTTCAAGAAGAGAACATTGCACGGCAATTTTGCTCCATTGAAACTATAATGAAGCAAAGTCACCAACGATCGCTAAATGCGCCCCTTGCGGCCGTTTTGAATACACGTTTAAAAAGGCTGAAACGCCTTGGCGATCTTCTTGATACCATCGCTCGTTCATTGGAGGAAATTGTTGTGCCTGAAGAGGGAGAGTGGAAGCTGTTTATTGAGTTTTTGCCATGGATTATGTCTAAAAAGGAACGAATGGACACATTCACGGAAGCACTGCGTAAAGGTAAAACATGGGAGGCCTATCTCTCTGAAGATTTATGGGACGCGTCAACATTGGTGAGGAGCACTGATTTTGATTTTACCCCTCAAGAGACTGTATGGAAAAGTATGGGGCCTGCAGATAGTGCGTTTCATGCGGTCACTTTACCGAATGCATCACGTAGTTTATGTGAATATTCCCAAGCTGAAGCCGCAGGGTGGCGTGCCGTGTTTTGGGAGAAACAGAGGGATCTTCTTTCATTTTTGCAGCAAGAAATTATGGACGAAGGGCGGCATATATTTTTGCTCTTTTTAGACCTGATACAAGCTGTGGCGGCGACTTCGCAAACTTCCAAGGCCACGGTGGTGACTGCGACGGGAGGAACATTGCTGCGGGAGATTCCTTTCTTGCGTACATGGCAACCACATTATCTTGTGGTTGATGACTATGATCAGATTTGCGACTCACTTTATCTTACATTGTCATCCGTGACTTCGGCGATTGTTTCGCACCAAGCAGAATCTTCTTTTCAACATGAACAACGCCTCCCCGTCGTCATCCTTCGGGCGCTGCAAAGGGAATTACAAGGCACACCGCTTCTTTCCACTGTGGTGCTATCCGAATCTTTCCGTTCCACCAATCCAGACATTCATAAAGCGGCACAATTGTGCCGGAACGCTTCCGTGGCCTTCTACACACCGCTTCCAATTGGCGTGGCAGGCAATAAAGAGGGCACCAATAATGTTGTTGTTGTTGAAGGTGCTGATGGTGGTGGTTTTGGCAACGATAATGATGACGGCCAAACAATGCGCAAACATGCAGCACTTGCAGGGTTTTCGTCACCGTGCAGTGTGGAGTTTTGGACGCATGCTGTGGCGCTGTCAGCCGCTGTGGCGTGTGATGGTGTTGCGGCTGCATTTGTGCGCAACCGTCTCCGGGAGATTGAAGCTTCTATGACAGTGACGGTATATTGCGGCTTTGTGAAGGACAAAGCTGTGATTCTTGAAGGCATGATGTCAGGGTCTGATGTGGACGCAACAGGGATCATGGGACCCGTTTGTACGATTCCGTTCGACTCCGAGGCATTTGTCGAGCGTGATGAGGAGTGTGATGTGGCGGTGCTGTGCTTATCGGGAATTGCGCGTCGATTGCGTCGGTTTTCAGCTGTGGGGCGGCATCAGGCGTGGGAACGCCTGGGGGCAGAACGCTCGTTTGTAGAACAATTGGAGTGGTGGCTGTGGAGGACGGTGTCGTATGTCCGTCGTGGGGTAATTTTGGTGGGGAGCAGAGAAGTGTTTTCTTTTATTGAGCCACTGCATCGTTTAGAGCGGTTTGTGCTTCAGATGCGTGAAAAACGACAGTTTTGGCTTCCTCCGGAGGCGAAAGGGGCGGCTTTGGCCCTACGATGCCCGGATCATGAAAACTTTCGTCAACTGGCACTGATCGCATACTCCGACTACGGTGGTTGCCAAGTGCGTGTGATGGGTGAAAAAACATGTCGCTCGTTGTGTTTGGCGCCATACGAGAATTGCACAAATCCATCCCATGCATGTCTCCGCATTTGTCATGTCTCTGGTAGAGAGAGTGGGGCTCTTGCCATGGAGGATGACGAGGATCCGTCGCATAGCAACTGCCCATTTCCTTGTATGCGGGTTCTTCCTTGCGGTCACATGTGCGTACGGCGTTGTGGGGAGCTCTGTTTACCCTGTGAGTTTGTCGGACTACAGGAGCTTTCGTGTGGACAACGTGTTGTTTCGGGCATATCAGATGTGGGCCCTGTACAGACGCTTGTGCACCACTTCCAGAGGATAAGCTGCGGAGAGTCACCGCAGCTCTGCGAGGAACGCGTGACACTTCGATGCTCTCGCTGCGGTGTAAAAAATCCGATCCTCTGTCACGAGGTGGTTGCGCGTGGTGGGATGGAACGTGCGAGACTCACAGAACTGGAGTGTGCAGGCTGCGTTGCTCTGTATAACCGTGTTGCGAGGGAACATGAAGCGGCGGAGATTGCATCAACCGTGCCGCCCACCGCAGGAGACCTTCCACTGAAGTCTCTGCCAGAAGCCGCCCAGACACGGTTGCAGGAGTTGCAGAGTATCACAGCGAAGAAGGCCCAATTGATGCTGCAGAAGGAGGCTTTGGAAACGATGCAGGGAAGACAGAACTCGGAGTTTTACCAGCAGCAGGAGATATACAATCGAATGCAGAAGCAACAGGAAGAGGAGGTTCGAGCTCACCGACAGCGCGTTCAGGAGAACATTCAGAAATGGAAAAGGACATTGAAACAAAAATACGCGGTTCAAATGACGGTGAATGAGGCGATGGACACAGAAGTGCCCCTTATGATCAGTGAGGCCATCGCCGAGGAGGAGAAGCAGCGGTCGCACCTTTTCGTGTAACCATGTTTCCTTTTTTTTTTTTCTTTATATGTTTTTTTGTTAGACCATGAGTTAATATGACGCTGAGGTACGGTAATGAAGAAGGCGTTTTCTATCTCTTTCTCTCTGTGTGTGTGTGTGTGTGTGTGCGTGCACAGCGCTGCGTTAATAGGTATCGATGCGTCTTTCTTTTATCCGGCAATGGGTCTTTGCTTTTTTTTTTTTTTTTTTTGAAGCTTTTTTACCTTTCAGCACCGCTTGTAAGGGGGGCGTGTCTGTTTGTGTTTGTGTATTTGTATGTGCGTATATTCGCATGGTGTGGATGCTTTTGCACCGATGGGCACAAATTTCCACCCGCCACATATTCCAGCGACCGCTTAATGTGCCGCAGGGAACAGGCATGTGGGACGTGGCGTGTTGGATGCCGCGACGTGCTTTTTTAATACGCTTTCAAGAGACCCCAAACGAGGCGTGCTATAAGTTTTTCGTTAACGACGTGGCTTTTCTACCGGCGGGTCACGCCGGCACGTTACGCTTTGATCTCGACAACTGTTTTCAGTCGCCGCTGGCAGAGAAGATTCTGCACGGCTTGCCGATGGTTGAGGAGGTGACGATCGGGCCACACTTTGTGACCGTGCGGCGTGTTGATGATGCCGACGCGGACGCGGCAGCGCGTTACTTCGCACATAAAATGGGCAGCCGCACGGACACACCGAAGGAAGCGGCACGACGTTCGGCGGCACTGCAGCAGCGAGTGGTGGACGCCATGCTGGAGGGGGATGCTGACGGAGTCCAGCCACCACCGACATCATCATCATCATCAAACGATCACGGAGAACAGGGCGTCACGAACAGCAACGGGGAATCATCGCTTCATAGGGAAGATGCGAGGCAACCAAAACGGGACAAACTATCGGAGAAGGAAACAGAGGAGGAGATAGGCACTGGCGAGCACGTGGATGAAGCGACACTGCGTGATCTCCTTCTTTCTACCCACTGGAGTGAACTGAAGCTGCACGTGAGTGCGCTCCTCACGGATCATCTGTTCAGCGGGAGGCCCCATGTGGATCCGGATGCCCCCCATCCTCACCCGGACACACTGCCACAGGAGGGCGATTCGGAAGTGGTTCTCATCCTTAAGGAACTTATTTCAACGACCATTCGACCACAGCTCCAGCTTGACGGAGGAGACATTCGATTTGTGAGTCTGGAAGGCGGTGTCATGTATGTGGAGATGCTGGGGGCATGCCGCAGGTGTAAGAGCAGCAAAACAACACTTAGTGATCTGATTGAGCGTACCACGCGGCATTGGGTTCCTGAGGTTCATGAGGTGCGTGAGGCGGAGCAGCGCAAACCACCGCACAAGAACTCTCCCCGCCGCGGCGAGACGAAGTTTAGAAATCAGGAGACAACAAAAACAGTAACAACAAGAACAACAGTAGCCTGTGGCGCGGAATAAAGCTGCGTCAGTGAAATTCGCATGTTGTTTGGTTGCCCGCCTGTGTGTATCTGTGTGTGTGCGTGTAACCATACGAATTGACATGGCTTTTTTATTGTTTTTCCTCTTCTGTTTCAGCCCGGAACCCTTTTTTTTTCTTTTTTGCCTTTTCTTTTTTTTTTTTTTTTTTTATCAGCAAAACTCCTCCAAGGTTGTAGTTTTTTTTTCCTTTTTTTTTTTCTTTTTTTTTTTTTGTCTGTGTGTGTGTTTGATTTCGTGACTGCGGCGACCTGCGCTTTCATTCAGTTGTCTCTTTGGGCGGAATTGTGGGAATTGTCACTTGTTTTGTCTTTTTCACGTCGGGGCGGTGGCGAAGGATCTTCCGGGTAACACGTGAGAAACAACAACAACAACAAAAGTACATATATCCACGGGCCACCCACGCACGGAGGCGCACCTCTCCGAAGTTCATTACTTCTTGTGAGGCGCCGCGCGACCCCCCATCGTCGAGAATTGCGAGTGGCACGAAGAGGACAAAATAAAAACAAGAAAAAAGCAAAGAAAAAAAAAAAAAAGAAGGAAAAGAAGAAATTTTAAAACTATCAACGATGGAGGAGAGGGAGGAAGTGACGGCAACGTCGTTCCGAGTGATGGTGTCCGAGGCGGAGCCTTACGGCTTTCAGACATGCGCCGCACAGCAGCTGCAGAGCTCCGTCCGCATCACACACATCACCTTCACTCCCCCCAGCTCAGACGAACTGGAGGCGTACATGCAGCATAAGGACAAACTTGCCTTGACCACGCCGCCAAGCAAGGCAGACACCTCTATTTGTCCCGCAACCTTTGCGCGTCTTCGAACGCTTTGCGCGTCGGGGGAGCTGGAAAGCCACACCGTGGCGTGTTTTCCATGGAGCCAACATGATGAAACAACGACGGCTTTGATGGCGGCTCATGGAAACGATGAAAGTAATAAAAACAAGAGTAAAAACAGTAAAAATAAGAAGAACGAGTCACATTTGCTTCAATCGACGACCACCGCTGCGGCCCATCCCCTTGAGCAGGTTCAGTTGGCGGGTCTTTTTGATGTGGTCCTCCCGCGGCAGACTGATATCTGCAGTAACGTTGACCTTCGCTTTGATGTGGATGGCTCTGTCTGGCTGGAGGTGGTTGGCCCCGGCAGTGTGACGTTTTTTGGGGAGCAGAACTCATCGCTGATACCGGAGTGGCTGAGTCACCGCTTCTTCACCGTTAGCGACGACGATGAGGAGACCGGTGGGGAAGAGGAAGAGGAGGAAGAGGAGGAAGAGGAGGAAGAGGAAGAGGGTGACATTGCGGCGATGTACGGTCTTGTTCACTGACGGGGGGGGAACTTCGCTGCGTGTGTGTTTGTGTGTGGTTGTGTACATAGGCCACAATAAGCAAAACAATAATTGAAAAGCTGAGTTTAAAGAAAGACTTTGAGGAGAGGAAGTTGAGCCGGCGTTCTCACACGGGTGAGTGTAATTGACACGATAGACTTTAATGCAATAGTGTGTAGGGGAACTTACTGTCGCGCTCTTTTTTTTTTTTTTTTTTCTCTGTTTTCTTTTTCCCTCTTTCTGCATGTGTGTGTGTGTGTATGGTTGATTTTTTTTTTTTTACATTTTAAACGTTTTCGTGTGTGCTTTTGGCTTTCTGTGCGGTGATGGTGCACACGCACAGTTGTCCACTGGCAGTGAAGGAGAAGGAGCTGAAAAAAAAAAAAAAAAAAAAAAAACTCGGAGCGAAAGAGGTGATTTTTGTCTTTTTTTTTTTTTTTTTTCGCTTTTTTGACTTTTCTCCCCTGTGCGTTTCTCCCTTTGTGGTGCGGCCTGAGTTCTTTTGTATAGAGTGAAGAAGAGAAGCAAAAAGCAAAAAAAAAAAAACAAACAAAAAGAGGTGAGGTGGGCGAGGGGAAATGGACGGAAAGAGGCGGTGGCGGTGGTGGTGAATGATGGGGCGGCCGCAGCGACTTTGTGTCAAAAACATCAACAGGAACCAAAAGATTGTTGGTGACCGGGCCCCGCCATAGAAAAAAAAAAAAAAAAAAATGAAAGACAGCCAGTCAGAGCCAATCGTACGATATATTTTACCATGATGATGATGATGATGACCGTTGTTCTTTTCTTTGACTGGTTGCTCCGGTGGTTCTCCTGTTGAGGGGGATGCTTGCACACGACAAAACGTTCTTCTCGTTAGGGATTCATTCTTTTTTTTTTTTTTTTTCTTGTGCGTGTGTGCGTGTGTGTGCTGTTTTTTTTTTTTTTTTCTTTGCCCATTTTTTTAATTCTCTTTTTTTTTTTTTTAATCTCTTTTCTTGGACGCACGCTGCTGTGAGGTACAAGCGGTGCTGGTAGGAGTGTTTTTTCATCTGCAAGTGGCTTTTGTTGCTGGGCGACATTGAGAAGTTATATACATATACACATATAGAGGGGGGGAGGGGGGATAGATAAAAGTATTGTTTAAAGAGGAATTGGAAAGGAGGGAGAGGGAGAGGAAGAGCGAAGGAGAAATTGCTCTTGCGTATATTTTTTTTCCTGCCCTTTAGCGTGCAGTTATGTGGGCAACCGCACAAGAGTAAATTCGTTGATTCCTTGAAGAGGAAGAGAGAGAGAGAGAGAAAGAGAAAGAAAGAGAACAGGGGAGGAAAAGGAAGAAGGAAAAGTAGTAATAATAATAACAATAAGAGAACTGGTGGGAAGGATCTCAAACATTGCCGCATTTCCCTGCTTCTGTCACATCTTGGGCATACCTGCCAGGTAGGGACGTTTTGCGGAGTACCGTTGTTACCTCCGTTGTTTGCCACCGATGCATTTTGTCTCAACCTCAGCGGCGGCATGGCAGCAGCAACAAAAACTACAACACAACATTGACTTCAATGCGGTGTTGGCGTACTGTTGCCGACCCGCACCATATGCGCTTGCCTGCGTCTCTCCCTGGTTTCGACGCCGAATGGAACAACTCAACTGGATTGGCCTTGTAGAGAAGATAATTACGGCAAACTACCCCGAACTGCTTGACAACACCGTCGCCAAACTTATTCTCGGGGACGGCAATGTGTTCCGTGAAGGGGTTGCCGTGCCACGTCGACATCTCCACCGCATGGCGCCTGGCCACGACCACCACTGTGCGATGCTGCTTGATCAATTGTGGCACAAGGGCATACTTGCTAGTCACGACACGGAGGCTGTCCTCTACTTAAAGGGAACAAACAACAACGTGCTAGTTGTGGAGGACATGTCTTCTACCTGTCATGCGTTTATATCCCATGATGCCCCACCACCAACCGAAGATCTTTTGTACTGGCTTTCGCGGCCACAGCACGATAAGAACTGGTGGAGTGACACAAGGAACCGTATGCCGTTGGCCGTAGACGAAATGGCAAGGGATACTACAGAGAGTTCACATCTTCTTTCTGCACAGCCTGATAATATTCGTGTCTTCTCTAGAGCGCGTGGCTTGGCTCTTCATATCACTGAGCGTCATTTGGCGTGGCTGGCAACATCCCTCGTAGGTGAATTGCCGCAGCTAAAGGAGTTGTACCTTTCATTAGACGAGGGGCGGATACCACCACCCAGAGAAATGTGGTGGTGGATCAAATGTATGCTTGCTGGAATTCCCGCGCTCCGTGTGCTTTGTTTGTTGCCACGCCCTGCATTGTTGTTGGGGCAATCCCGAAAGAGGTTTGACGACGATGACGTGCTTGCGCCGTATGTTGAAGAGGTGGATTGCATCAAGAGAGATATGAGGGTACTCGGTCGTCTTCAGAAAATTCATTTTCAAACTGGAGAGCAAAACATTTTGTCTTCTGAGAATTTGAACACTTATAAAGAGGGTAGAGGTCTTTCAGACACGGAGAGTTCTTTTGTCCCACCACCCGGCGCTGCAGTTTACAATGAAAACAGTAAGTTGATAACACCGACTGAGAATTCATTTAACGTGTCTCATCTACTCGATAAAACAGACATGGAAGGATTGGAACAGCTGAGTTCGCTTGAGGTCCTCTACATATGTCCTTCGGCAATGGAATCCTTGCCGTTTCTCGCACATCAACCCACACGGATGAAGGAGTTGTATCTTCTTTCCAACCCCAGACTAGAGACAAGTGGTATTTATGGTCTTGAGTCACTCCCACAGCTGGAAGTATTGTGGATAGAGGGAACTTCTATTCGTCAACTCTCGGCTCTGAATGTCTCAACATCATTGCGGGAATTACATGTGGCGCTTGATTCCGCCTTCAGCGCCTCTTCTTTGCAAGGGATCGAACAAATTCCAACACTTGAGGTACTGCACCTTGAGCGGGTAAGTGTGGATGCTCTCTCCTTTGTTGGCGGGTGTTTATCTCTAAGAGAGCTGATACTACATGCATGCCGCATATACTCCGGAAATGCATTACAAGGAGTGGAGAGAGCTCATTTGGAACATGTCTCTCTGGCCCACTCAAGCGGGATACGGGAAGTTAATTTTTTGTCAGAGTGTAAAACACTTCGTGTACTCTTGTTAACCCGATGCAATGGAATCAGCACGGCCTCTATTATGGGGTTAGAGACTCTGCCTCATTTGGAGTTTCTTGAACTTGAGTTCACACGCGTGGATTCAACGAGTCTGTTGGCTGAAAGCCCATCTTTACGTCATCTTCGCCTCAACAATTGCAAACGAGTTTTACGAGGCTCTATTCGTAACCTCGACCGCTGTGCGACGTTGCAGTACCTTTCACTGCAGGACACTAACGTCATCAACGTGGAGGCGATTTATGGATCTTGCAGTTTAGTGGAGCTTGACCTGAGTCGCTGCAAGCATTTAGAACAGGAGGGTATTGAGGGTGTTGTCCGTATTTCCACCCTTAAAATTCTTCGTTTATCGTATACTCCCATCATAAGCGTTGCTTTTTTGAAGACATCTATATCGCTTGAGGAATTGTATATAGATAATTGTGCAAATATTACCAACGAGGGACTTTATGGCATTGAGGAGATCCCCACATTGCGCGTACTTTCCATGGTAAACTGCCAGGCTAGTGACATTGGTTTTTTCGGGTCATGTCCATGCTTGGAGGTGCTTCACATTGCCTCCATGGAACACCTGCGTACGTCTGGCATCAACAACATTGGGGACTGTTCTCGTCTTTGTCACCTCAACATGGCGTTCTGTGGTGTGGACTCCGTCTCCTGCCTTGCGAATGGCTGCCCGAACCTACGGTACTTGAACCTTCGTGGCTGCCAGCGACTCACCACAGAGGGTCTGCAAGGGCTTGAGAAACTGCCCACATTAACGGATCTTGTACTTGACGACCTCGATCTCGTTTGCGACATCAACAGCCTTGCAGAGAGTACTTCACTGCAACGGCTAAGCGCCGCGCGTTGCACATCACTCACGCTTTATGGAGTCCGTGATCTGCTTTTGAGAAAGCCACACATATCGCTGCGACTGTGATTTACAGATAGGATTTACTCCATGAAAACAACACGATCAAGAGCAGCAATAAGAAAAAATTGGTAAATAATTTATGAATGGTCGCGTCAAAGTACATGTGCCAATTTTCTTTTTTATTTTATTATTATTTTTTTCTTTGGTTGCTGTTCTTATTGTTGCAATTATTTCTTATTTATCTCTTATTATTATTATTATTATTATTTGTTGTTGTTGTTGCTGACTGTTCCCCCTTTTCCCCTGTTTGTTGGAGGCATTTGCATTGCTTCATACTGTTTTTCTTTTTCGAATGCAACCATTTTGCCTTCGTTGGAAGGCATCTTTGATCTTATTTTTGTGTGGTGATAGAACCGTCATCATTTAAAAGTGAAAAGGGACACTTTATACTTGGCCACCCTGCCGCACAATCAGGAGTGTGTAATGTAAAATGAAATGCCCGTGAATGCCTTCATTGCAGACGTGTGTTTAGAGGGGGCCATGAGGAGGGGGGAGGTCTCATTTTTGCCTCTTTGACTGTCTGCAGCGACTCTGGGCGGGCGACGAGTGACACAATTTGGCCCATCTTGCCTGTGACCGTCCGGCTTGCGCTCGCGGATCTCTTTTCTCTTGTGGCTTTAGCGACGTCCAAATGGCTGGTTATTGGAGTTTACCTCCTTTTACTGCTGCGGTGCGTTTTTTCCCGGTGTTATGCCTCGTTCTAGCCAGTGTTGTGTGCGACGCACTCGACGTCGCGAGGGCGACGGAGGGGACGAGCGCAAGCCGTGACAGCCAAGACGAGCCCGTTTCCTCTCGAACTCACCCACCGGGCAGGAGTGGACGCTGTTTGGTGTGAACAAAAGGGAAACCGCTCTCTGAGCAAAAGGGGGGCGGAGGGGTCTTTATATTTTATAAACCAGGCTGAAACACGAACGCCGACGTGCCACCCCGCGAGTATTTAATATAACTTTGCACTGCATTCTTCTCACTTCAAGAGTGGCATTTATTCGGTAAGTGGACGAATCTATAAAATTTAATTGCGTATTTTTGGTTAAAACTAAAAACAAAAAGAAATACACCCTTGTTTCAATAATGTGTTTTATTTTTTTTATGTTTTTTTCTTCTTTTGTTTCTTGCTTCCCTCACAGTCCTCTTCATGGACGCAGCGTCTGCAGCACAGGCACATTTTTGGCCCTGTGTTTTGCACAACCCTTTTATGGCCTTAAATCACACAAGTATACATTTTTTATTCGTTTATTTTTGGTTTTTCCCGCTGTCCCTTCTTGGGTGGTGCTATGTGTCTCTCCCTTTGTGTGCTTGTTTTTTGCGTCTCCAAATATGTGGTGCATTCTTTTCCCTTTGGTCTTTGGTGGGTTTTCAAAGAAAAAAAGCTCCAGTGTTAACTGCAACATATTGGCCGATAAACCAGGAAACTAACGACAGCCGTTATTTCCTGTTGCACGTGAGAAAAAAAAAGAAAAAGGTCATACACAACACCAGCAGCGGTTTTTACTAGTGAAACGCAAGAGGAAACCGACTGCGTCGTGAAGGGGGATTGGGTTTTGTGCAGAAGGCAAAGGCAAGCATTGGAAAATGCCAACAGTCCCGTCTCCTGCTTCCCGACAAGCCTACGTTGTCGTGTTGGCCGTGATGGTTTCCCTTCTTTTTATCAGTGCTGCCGACGCGGAGGAAATCGTCATTGGTGTTCTGGACGGCTCCCACAAACTGACGGCGGAGGACATAAAGAATGGATTTAAAGCGAACGATAAAAATTTTATTAATTCCTGTGGTAAATTCGACGTAAATGGTGACAAATTCGTCTTGATAATTGAGATGGGAAACTTCACAGACTATCTTATCCCCCAAAAGGGCGTTCATCTCTGTGACCTTCTCACCAGCCCGACGAGGGAACAAAAGTATCTCTACGCCCCGCAGGACCCTCGAGACGCCACGTGGGATGGACACACTTTCCCCGTCACACCGTCCATCTACGAGGATGCGTTGGGCGGATCCGCAGAAGGCTATGTCAACGTTGAGCGAAGTACACTATCGTTCTGGGGTGACAACGGGAGCAACGATAACCACACGGGAGGCTGTTGCGCGCTGATGCCCGGTCAGAATGCCGCTTGGTACCGGCCGTACCGCCTGTTATTCTCTCCGAAGGAACCTGCAATGTATCTTGCCTGGGGTACAAAGCCAAAGGCTGCTGTCCCCAACGTTCCAGTGGTATTTGAAGTCAACTTGTGGAACATGCGAAGTGAGCCAGTTCTTGAAAATGTCACATTTAATATTACGACAAACGGAAAGAAAGTCACTGTGACAAGTCCAACGGGAAGGTACACGCATTTTGCCAACGCCTCAGATCCTAGCGCTGCGAAATATACCATCATAGTAGACCTTGTATCCGGACCCGATACGGTGAACACAAGGCAACTGAAGGCTGTGGTGGATGTTTTTGGGAAACTCCCGTGGGATGTGGCACCGACTGCCGGCGAAAACATCCCGGCGCTTGTGCGATTTGGCAAGGCGGGCACGGCAATCGGTCCTGTGGATGGGATTGCGGCACTTAACGAAGATTGGTTTGCATCCTCCATCGTGGGCGGTGAGTCTCGAATCCGCCCTGTTGCCGGTCACTTCAACACGGTGGAGCCCTACACGCTGCCTCCAGTGAGGGACAAGTGGGAAAACGTGACCCAGGCGGATGGTGTGTTTCGGGTGCAGGTGCCGTGCAAAAGTGTGCAGTACTATGCTGTCGCTGTTTACAGTGCCGCGGATCAGCGTATCGTGCTGCAATATGAGTTTGACACCGCCGCTGTGATGTACTTTGCTGGTAAACGCTTTGTTCCCCGGGAACAGGGCGGCTCACGGAGGGGTTCGTTTGCCGTTGGTGTAATGCAAGGCTACCATCAGGTCCTTGTCAAGTTGTTCTCTGACAATTCGACAGCAACAGAAGATCCTCGAAAGTGCACCGCCGTCTCGAGCTTTTCAATGCGTGTGGTGGGCACTGCGGTTGGCTACACTCACGCCGTCATGCCAGACATTCCGGAGGGTGCCTACGAAATATGGAACAACAACTATATGTTCTACCTTCTTCATTTGGGAGAGCAAAGGGAAGAGTATCTGTACGGCGCACTCGACGAGGACTTCATCAACGTGAGTACGGCCATCCCGAAGCCAGGAGAACACATGAGCGGCAAATTTTGGAAGGTATTTGTCTTTTATGGTGGCCGGATTCCCGTTTCTGCAGAGAGTCTTCCAAAGGACAAGGAGGCTGCTGTGTCATACGTCGCCATCGCCCTTTACAGCGGCTACGAGGAAAAGGTTCCTGTTGGCTGGACCTTCATCACTGGCGGCAAAACCGATTTTTATATTGATGGCAAACCGGTGTACAGTCGCCCAAGCGACACTGGCCCTTTAAAAGAGAATTTCACCACGCCGGTTTCGCGCGGGTGGCATCAGCTGATTGTGCGCATTGCCGCCACGAAAGGACAGTCATGGGGTTTAACTTTTTACATTCACTTTGATAACTATCGTCTTGGCAGTGCCCATACCACTGGTAGCAATCTCCCTTTTGGCGTGGCTCCCATTCGACCCAACAGACCACTTTTGTCACTCATGGAATTAGTCGATATCAAGTCTCGGGTTGGAGCGATTCCCTTTAATCCATTGAACAATACGGCGGTGGCGGATGAGTTTGCTGACCTTCCGATTGATGCAAGCTACATGCCTGGTTTGCTTTCAAATCAAAGCATCTGGACATTGGGGCGAGAGCGTCAGTACCAATGGGTGGGAAGAGTGAGCACAGATGGCATCTGGGGTCACCGCCCTTTTGGTGGAAACTCCAATCAGTATTGGTCTGTTGTGTTGTATGCCACGGAGTCGATGGAGGCGACGGCGCGTGTCATTTTTCATGGGGGCTATGCAATGTGGCTGGATGGCCAGTTGGTTGGCTCGTCACCCCTTTCTTCGGAGAAGGAGGTGCGCGAGACCTTGCCACTGAACAAGGGGTGGAACCAACTGGTAATTAAGCTCAGAGCGAACAACTCGTTTCACCTGATCGACACAAGGAACAGCAGGATGAGTTGGACTGCGGCAAACGCGTTGTGTGCTGAGACGAGGCGTATGGAGTTGTGCCCACTATCAGCTGTGTGCCCTTTTGGTGTGGGACGCCCGGGCGTGTTCCCCGTGCCTGAGGGCTCTTCCTTTGTCCCTGTGAAGAATGATGAAAATGAATGGGTTCAGGTGTTTGCAGGCGGCGGCAACGGCACATCGATGTGCGAGACGTGGCGAGACGCTCATGATGGTCGCGCTCCAATCTGGGGCGAGACCGGTGACAACATAACCGAACGTCATCTTGTGCCGTGCTGCGGCGATAATTCAGCACCGTTCATATGGCTGAGCATCACTCCTTCCTCCACTGCGGAGGGCGAGTTGGGCTACACATATGAGATCCCCGTTGTTGTTGAGGCGCCCGTTTTGACGGTTGACGACCCTGCAGCCGTCACACAAACGGTGACAATAACCTGTGCTACGCCTGGGGCCACCATCAAGTACGCCGTTAACAATGCAGAAGAGATGGCACTGTACACACGCCCCTTTACCATCTCGGAGTCCTCGACAATTTTTGCTCAGGCGTTTGCTCAAAGTCGTGAGAGCCGGAGGTTGGAGGTGTTTGTTGAAATCAAGAGTCCAATTGTCGATCGTGTTGCGTGTGTTGAGAATGAAAGGTGTCCTCTATTTGTCTCGGGTGTGGATCCGCGGTGGCGCATGGCGATAATAAACACAAAAAGCTCCGGGAAAGGTGTGAAGGAGTACTTTAATTTGACTTATGCTCTTGAACAGCCACCGTCGTTGGACTTTTCCGGGGTGCTCGACATAGAAGAGCACCGCGTTGTTGTTCCCCCTCTCCGTGCCGGGACATTCAACGTCATTGTCTACAACACCGATGCAAGGGGCAGGATGGCGGTGAACACTTTGGCCTACAAGGAGACAAGACTTACCCCCGGTGAGGTGGTGGGCACACAGAAAACTTTGTTCAAAATTGAGGGCGGCGTGAACAAGGGTGATGTCCTGCTGCTTCCGTTTACTGCAAGCAGATCATCAGCCACGTGCGATGCAGATGCGTGCACCGCGGCGCTCAAGAGTCAACTGGACCGTGTTGCCGTGTTGTCATCCAGTGTCAGTGCGTACTTCAAACAAGACCTTTACGGATATTCGGGCAAACTCAGTTGTCTCTGTATTTGCCTCTCGTGCTATAAAGGGGTGTCCAAGCAAGATTCGGTGCTAATTGAATCTTCCAAGGTGGTGAACCAGGTTGTCAACGTGAGTGTGTCGAGCCCCGTACCACACGCAAAGGCCACCGTGGGAGCTATACGGCCTTTTAGCGTGCGCAATGGTGATGACCTTGAGATGTTTGGGACGTTTATAACCGACTCAAGCTATATTGTCCGATTTAATCCTGCTGTTTCGGGAGGCGACACAATGGCGGCCCCGACGTGTGCTGTCCAAAAAGTCACTACCGGTGTATTGACCTGCGAAATGCAGGTTCAAGCCGGGACCGTGGGCGGCTGGAACGTCTCTCTCTTGGACGGGGAGGCACCAGTACCTTTTGAGGAAGGTGCCGTCAACACGATTCATGTCCTTCCACCGGATCCTTTGGTTGAGTTCGCGGCGGGGAACTGCGCTGCCGCAAGCGTAAACTGCGTTACAGGTGCGGAAGTGATTTTTCGCGGTAAGAACTTTAACCCTGTGTATCCCTTGTATAACGATGTGGTTGTGGGTGATGCCGCGTCCGCCAACCCTATTCTCTGCAGGGTGACTAATGCCACGGAGAAGGAGCTTTTCTGTGTTCTCAGCATTCCGCGGGGCAAGGAACATGGCAAGCACTCAATCCAGGTCCGTGTCCGTGTGTCGGAAACGGAGTGGGGCGCAGAGCAAAGTGCAGGATTTCTTGTGTTGGGGGCTGGGGCGGATGTTCCTGGGTGGAAAGCCGACAACGTGCCTCCATCTGTGCCAGTGGCTGGTGGAAATAGTAAGTATGTTGTCATCATCATCGTTGCCGTTCTTGGCGCCGTTCTTCTTGCACTGATTGTGGCCGTTGTTGTCATGTACTTCCGGTTCCGCGCGGCGGCAGTGAAGGCCGACGAAGAAATAATTTCCTTGGAGTTGCAACTTCTCAATGCAGGCCATGAAAGGGCAGAATTACCGACGAACAAGCAGGTGAAAGGGCTTTGAATGAGTTAAAGGGGAAATTAAGATTGATAAATGTGAGTGGCGAGCTGAGTAGAGGATATTATTTGGTGACTAAAATGCCCCCTTATATTTTTTAGTGATTTAAGTATAAATATATCAGACCGACTGCGTCTTGAATTTTCTGTTTACTTACTTTCTTGTTTTGTCTCTATTTTTTATTTTTATTTTTTTGGTTTTAACGCTACACTGCCTCCATTTTATCATAATGTATCCACAGACCTTTACGGTGACAGTGGAATTATGAGGCATTGACGTGTGCCGGAAGAATAGCATTTTTACCGTTTTTTGTTCGTTGTGTCTTTTGGTAGGAATTTGGGAAAAGACTTCATTTGGGGGCCATTTTCGTAGCCATTTTGATGGCGTTTATCTTTATTGTTATTATTTTTATTTTTTTAAAACCTGTCAATGCAGTTGGATCTTTTTTTTTTTTCTTTGTGTGCTTGTGTATGTGTGTGAGTCACATCGTGTCGCGTGTGAGTGGCGTCTTTCTGTATGTGTGCTTTGACTTCAATTTTAATTTAAGTGTTGGATGCAGTAAGTGACGGCCAGGTCGCTGAAGTTGTGGATGGAAGACGCATCATGTCTGGTGTTGCGTTGGGAGAAACGTCTTGAAGGGGCCTGCGGCGACTCCGGGAATTCGGTTAATGGCGGGCAAACAAGGGGGTTGGGGCAGCAACGGCAAGCACAAACGCAGGCGGCGGTTGCGGAGGCGGCATCTGTTGGAATGGCGCTGCTGAAGTTATTGTTGCAAATGGAACAGAAGGAGGGCGAGATGGCCGATGACGACAAGGATGCAAAGGAGGGGACGGAGACCGCACTGCCCCACCAGCGTCTAACACAGCTCCTTGTGGAGGTGGTTCTTGCTATTTTGGACTCCTGCATCCAGTGGACAGGAACCAAGAACGCGGTGCAGGCGGTGTGCTGTGAGCTGATGGCAGCGTCCTCTCGGGAGAAGGGACAAGAAGATCTCGCAGAAAAGCTGTGCGACTGGTGGGAGCACGAGGAGGTTGCAGAGCAGGCCTGGCGCTGGTGTGAGGCGCATCTCACACTCTTGCCAGCTGATGAAGCGGCATGGCGTTATGGAGCATCTCACGGCGTGGCAACACCCACCGATTGGTGGTGGCGCCCCGACGCGATGACTTCTGCCAACTCAAACTCTCTAAGTGAGACAACTGCGGCAGCAGCACGCTCACTTTTTCAGGAGGTTTACGCGGCGGTGTCTCAACAGTGTATTGCAGAGTCTCCTCGTACAGAGCTAGCCGCTGCTAAAGAGCTTTTGCATAATTTATTTACATCATCTGCAGGTTTTTTTTTCCACCGCATAGCAGTGAGTCGTGGCGTATTGCAACGTCTATTCACAATGAAGGCGACAGCTTTGCTGCATCAAGCTCATCTGCTGACTTGTCTCGCGTTTTTAAAGAATGCTGCTCAACCTCGTTACACAGAGAAGAGCAGAAAAACATCTGGCGGGAGCAGTAGCCACGAATTATTGTGGGTTTCGCGTGAATGCCTATCTCTTGCATGGAAGAATCTTATTTCTTCGATAACTGCAGTGCAAGTGGCCACAATACACTTTGGTGCATCCTGTGGGGGTTTGCGACGACAAGTTCGACGGGCATTGTTTGGCGTGAAGGAAGTGGCGAGTGAGACAGATGGCACTTTTTCATCTTGTGAAGACTTTTTTTACGTGCATCCTTCTGTTGAACCGTCTGAGAATGCGTGTCGTGTTACACATGGCGTGGGACTTGTGGCCACAGGAAAGATTTCTGAGGGCAGTGTCATGTTGCAGGAACGGTCTCTTTTGTTTCATAGCTCACCAGATCAAACCGCGGCGAAGACGGAGATGCAAAACAACGAGATGTCAACTGTCACGGGTGCGGCACTTGAATTGTTTCGGCGTGGCGGTATGACGTTCATAAGCGATGCGGTGACTTCACAAATAGTGGAATCTCTTCAAAGTGGTGCTTTTTTTGGGGAGCCAACACAGGCTGGTGAAATGTGGAATGCGTTGCATCTTATTGCCGCCATGCAACCGGCGGACAGAAACAGTGTTAGAACGGAGGATAGTTTTGCGCGCGACATTGCCGACCTTGTGCGCTGCTGGACGGAACGCGCTATTCCATTCTGCCCCGTGGAAGAATTTAGGATTGAGTTGGAGGGAGCCCCTGGGGAGGGGAAGGCGTTGTATCCGTTTGCCGGTTTTATAAATCACAGTTGTTCACCAAACGCGCTATTTGTCTTTAGTGAAGAAGAAGGTGCCTGTTGTTCCTCGGGAGGCGGTGTATTGCGTGTTGTAGCTCTTTGTGACATTGAGCCAGGTGAGGAGATAACAGTCACATATCTTTCCTCACTTCTTCTTTCAAGGGAGTTAAAACGAGAGCGGAATGGTTTCTACTGTTGCTGTGCCTTTTGTCTTTCTTACGCCGCGTTATTGGAGGGTGTGGTGTGCCCTACGTGCCAACAGCTCGTTTACGATGATCACAACGACAAGGAAGAGGAGTCATCTAAAGCGGTTGATGTAGTTTCCTCTGTGAGGGCCAATAACACAACAAATGGGCGGGTGAAACCGTACGCACACCTGCCTGATTGTGCATACGCGGGATACAATAGCTACAAGGATCTCGCCGGGCCAATGAAATCAGGGTTCAAGAAAATCCTTGACAACATCCACTGCGAGCTTTTGGGAAAGTCTGTTACGGATGCCGTGCATGAATATGGAAATTGCATGCAGGAAGGTTTTGGAGCTGGAGAAACGGAAAAGTATAAAGAAGAAGATGATGATGATGACAAAAAATATGCACAGCGCGCTCAGAAAGCCGTGCGTCAGTTAATGGATCTTGACACATTGGCTTCTGGACTTCCATCGACACATCATTACCGTTTGCAGGCGCGGATGGAATGCTTGGCTACTTCTTTGAATGCCATTATGACGCCAAATGACGTCACACGACTGGTGCAACTATGCGAAAAACTGTTAGAGGATTTAGAGGTGCTGCTGCCGCGAAATTATCCGCTCTTGACGGGTATCCGTCTTCATTATGCTCTTGCACGCAGCCGGTACCTGATCGCCACAACAGACACCAACGACCCTGCAGCAGACGGGTATCCCGAAGGGTGCTGCGGAAGTGTGCGTGAGCAAGCTGAAATGATGCGTTTGCCATTTATGCGTGATGCTATCATTCGCGAATGCGTGGTGCGGTCTTTTCAGGAGCACTATGTTTACACAGGCTGGCGATTTGCAGACGCCAACGACGAGGAAATTCTTCAGAGTTTTCTACGGCGATACGAAGCGGAACTGTTTGCATGTGGTGTGGAGGAATTGTCTCACTTCAACATGTTGTCGCTGATGTTTGATGCGGCAGAGGGCGGCAGCGGGTAAAAGATGCATATGTGATTTTGTGCGTGTGATGTATAGCTGTTGAGACTGCTTTTGCCAGGGCTGTCATTTAGGGGCCTCGTTGAACTATTGGGCGGGACTGGGGGGCACCATCTGGCATGCCTTTCACCCCCCACTCACGAGAAAAAGAGGACAAAAAAAGTGGGACTTTAGGAACAGTGAAGGATGAGTGTTTGGTGGATTGCTTTTACAGCTTGTTTTTTTTTTTTTTTTTTTTTTCACGTCTCTGCTTCACTACTGTTTAATTTATTTATTTATTTTTTCTTCAAGGGAGGGGTGGTGCAACGATGGAGGCGGGTCACCTCCTGCTTTGGGCGCGGTGCCGAAGATTTGTAGGCGATGTTTGTGCTGGCCGTGACGCCACCCATGGGCTGGCGCACATGGAGACTGTCACGGGGAACGCCCTTCTCATTCTTCACATGGAACACGGAGCGGCCTCTTGCCCCTCGTTGACAATCTCGCGAGTTATTCTTGTCGCCATGCTTCACGACGTTGCTGATCACAAGTACGATGCGGCAGGCAGGCTCATCCAGCAGGTTCGAGAGTTTCTAGGGGCAGAAAAGGGGGCAATAACAGCTGCGGGGATGGACAGTGAAGAGGCATTCAGTCACGCTCTTACCACCATAGAAGCGGTTTCTTTCTCAAAGGAGAAGAAGCAATGCATGCGGTGGTTTGAAGCGAAATTGCCGTCCGACTGGGTTTTTGTTCGAGACGTTGTGAGTGATGCGGACAAACTTGAGGCCATTGGCGAAGAGGGTCTGCGGCGGTGCCTCGTGTACACAATGCACACATTGTTAATTAGAGAGGGGCGTCAGGGCTGGGATGCGGTCCTGCAGCAGCGCTGTCTCCAAGGCGTAAAAGAGCATTTTGTAGAGAAATTAAGTCGTCTGTCAAAAGAGTTTATCGTCACAGCTGCTGGCAAGTTTTTGGCTGCCCCAAGACACGCGGCAATGGAACGGGCGTTGCAAGAATGGGAGTCTCAAGGCTTACCGTCATTCTTTTGAATTTTCCAACTGTTGCTATCGAAAAGACATAAACAAGGCTTTTTTTTTTTGTTTTGGCTGGGACGGGAGGCATATTGATATATATATGTGTCTTTCCACCGTTGGAACTTATTGGAGGGGTTGGGGAAAATCTTTGCTTCGTCATTTCCCTTTCCCCTCCCCCTTTTTTTTTTTTTTTGATGTTTTTTTACCATTTAACAAAAATATGGTCCTGCACATGGAAACACCTTCCAAGATTAGTAAGCCTGCTTGATGAATGTCGCACAGTTTTTAACCGGCCGTGTGGAAGAGTTGGCTGCATTTTCTGCTTTGTTGTTTCGTAAACGACCTCGTCATGAGAATGAGAGGGCCTTTTCTCGTACGGCACGCTCTGTTGTTCACTACCGCCGTCCGTCTTCTGCGAATGTGCCGCTGTCAGAAGTGATGCGGTTGGCGAATTTTCGCTCACGGAGGTCTAAACGTTTTGTGCGACTGTTGGCAGCCGAGGAGCCTCCACCAGCAACACCGAAAACAGTCGAAGAAGAGAAAGGACGGGTGCAGAAGAAAAAACGTCTCCTAACTTATAGGGCGTGGTGCTTGCTTTTAAGGCGACGCCGTAGATTTCTGTTGAGGCGACGAGCGACGACACGTCGTCGAATTCGACGTCGGATTATTGCTCTTCGTTACGGTAAGACGCAACTTCCCCTTTGCAGCTGTGGATCTCCTGCTGGTGCGCCTCCACCTTCTCTTCCCCCGTGTCTCTCCACGCAGGCTTTTTCCTCTGGTGGAGGCCGGACGGCAGTGCTTTGGCTGCCCACCCATTGGCGATTTTGCCGTCGGTTTCATTACAGTGTTCTCAAGACGCGTATTAACGGCTGTTCCTCATCACCGGATGACGACTTCTCTTCGAGGCTTGTGACCGTGCGGATTGCTGTGCCAACGACAAGCCAGCGTAAACAGCATCGTGTCCTACAGCGATGGGCTGCACGGCTGCCATCATGTTGTGCACTGGGAAAACCTCCCCGACGGCTTAAAAGCAAGCCAATGGCTGTTCCACCGCCCTTGTGTTTTGCGGCCGAACGCTCTCATATGTGTGTCTGGGCAATCCAATCACGGGAAAACGGGCACCCATTAACTGCCGAGGAGGTGATGAACATTTTGATGATAAAAACCTGTAAAGCACCCCCGGTTACTCTTCACACGAGAGATCTGGCGACGATGGCACAAACACCGGTTAATTCCGTGCCGTATGAAACGTGTTGGCGGCGTACTGAGAGTGGCGTTTTTTACGGGTACATGTGGTCTCTGGGAAAAGCTATTAGCAAAGCGAAATGGTTGTTGAGGGAAGGCATGGAATTGTTTGACACCGAAACAACACCAATAGTTGTGCCCGTTATACTTCTACGGAATGAGGATGTGGATGGCGGTACGTACCATCTTGTGGCCTCCACACCTGTGCACATTGGGGCCCGTGCCAGACGAGGATTAGAAATGCGACTTGTTTCTCATTGGAATCCCTGTGGTGCACCCAAACCCATGTGTTCCATGTTTGAACTCTGGTGTTGTGCTGATGCAGTCAGCGTGAAGGGAGCCGATATGTCGTTGACGAGGGATGGCTCATTTATCCTAGAATGGATACGGGGGCGAGTGCATGCCGCTGTGGGAAGATGGTGTAGAGTGAATAAGATTTCCTCATTTGCACAACAAGAGGGATATGAAACGAACAACAATTCATCATCACTCATTAAAAGAACGACGGTGTGCGTTTTCCCGTCAATTCCACCAAACCTCGAAACCATTGATCATACCTCTTTCCCTGTGCATCGCTGTGTTATGTCTATTCTTGTCTTTTCCAAGGAATCCTTTCCCCAATTGGACACAACCGGCAGCGCCGTGCGGCGGGATCGCATGCGTCATTTTCAGTTCGCCCGGAAGCTTTTTGCTTCTCTGACTGACGCCACCGCCACCGCGTGGAGAACGATACGCCATGACGACGAAAAGATTGCGTGGGCGTTTCGTCTTTGTCAATCGCTTGGGTACAGACGCAACGTCCGAATAATTGGCGAGGAGGAAAGAGAAACACTGCTGTCTCTGATTGGGTGTCCTGCCTTTACCGATGTGAGCGGTAAAAATGCGTCTTTTCAGATCTCTCGTATGGCTCGACTGCGTTGCTCTCCATCAAACGCACATCAACGCGTCCTGCTGAAATTCGCGGCGAGGGGTGGTCGAGAGCACCAACGTGAGGGAAGTGCTCTTTTTGTTTTGAAGCCAGGAAGCCCTGCCGAGCTGTTTCACGTTGGGGCAGTTACTTCGGCGCCATTCTTTTCAATGCGCTTTGGCACTCGTGTGGCATACGCGTGGGTATGGGATGACGCTGGATGGGAACTGGTAAAATTTTACGCGCGGTTCTCACTGCGCAATGTTTTCCGCGAAGAAACAGAAGTTTTTCATGAAGGGCCGAAGAGGGGTGATGCTACCGAGCATAGCGGTGCAGGCAGCGGTGGCAATATCTGCTTTTTTCTCGCGGCCGCTGAAAAGGTCTCATGTCTTGTACCGTTTCTTAAGAATTCTCCCATTCGCATTCCTGGCTGTTCTGCTTCCTCTTGTCCTGTTGAGGGCGAAGTGAGTCGGCAACGCTGGCATCACAGACATGGCACGAAGAGGATGAGAACGGGTGATCCCGTCGTCTCCGCCAAGATGAGGAGTTGGCGGGCGATGGAGACGATGTTGTGCGATGGCGACACGTGCCTTCCGGTAGAGGTCGTTCTTCTCGGCACGGCTGGTGGTTGCCGTGTGAGGCTGTCGTCAAGACATTCCTGTGACAGTGACGTGACAAGAACAACAACAGTGTGACCTTAGGCGGAATCCATACTTTGGTGGGGCGTCTTTTGATTTTCCCCGTTGCTGACCGCGCTGCCTTAACGATGAGCGGTTGGATGGACGACTCATGTATTTCTGCGTGGCGGTGATTTTGATTGCCACAAAGTCATTTAGTGCGACGGGTAAAAAAATCGGCTGCATCGGCTCTGGCAGTGACACCACACCCTTTGCACGGGAGCGTAACGCGAGAAGTGAGAATTGATGCAGATTGAGGCATGCGCACTGCGGGGCGGGCGGCGCAGACTGCACGTTTCTTCCGCTGAGGACCACGGTGACAGGGTTCAATCCGCCTTATCGCGTCTTCACGACGTTTTGTTAAGGGTCTCTTTAGGCCTGTTTTCGCCTGAGATTTTTTTGCTCGAGCTCACACCTGTTGCGATGACGTCCTATTTTTTCTTTACCATCGTGGGGGAGGGAGTGAAGCGAATGGAAGAAGAAGAGGGGCAAGCAGTTCTTTGAGTCTATGGGAATTGGTACACTTTCATTGGTGTTTCCGAGACAGCTTGAGAAGGGTGGGAGGGGTGAATGGTGGGAACGGTCTGATTGCACTATACATTTGAATTATCATGCCATTTGGCGAGATGACATTTCCGGTGTTTAATTCACGCTGCTGACTTCAAAACTAAATATGGGGAATGTTTTCATTTGCGAGACGACGCGCGGAGGCGCGCGTTATTTGTAAAACGAACACCTTTTTACACGTCATTTTATTCGCCAGGGAGTTCTGCGTATTGTCGCTCCTCCGTCACGCAGGAGTTACGGTGGGTGGAATAAATTACAATCGAATGCCGGCGAAGTCGCAAACTAAAGATGTGAATGAGTTCTTCGAAGGGAAGTAAATTGGCTTCCGTTGATCATTGGACGAAAAAATGTGGGTTGCCTTTGAAGAGTGTCAAACGTGTGTTTCTCGTGCGGGCATGCAGCTTTGAGCTGTCTGACAGAGATGGGCTGCGACCACGACCGTTGTCGTGTGGCCGCTGCCAAATTTTTTCTGATGAAACGGGTTATGCACCGGCGGGAAGATACGGGGCGGCGGAATGCGATGTGGCGCATGACAGTGTTGGTTGGTTACGTTCCACTGTTCAGGGAGCGGACGTCCAGCGTTCTTTACACGCGCTTAGTCCGTTTGTTTTTCCTTTTTTTTCCCCTTCTAGGCATTGCCCCAATGCGGTGTGTATGAAACAATGGGTGCCAGAGCGACGCAAATTTTGACGCTGAGGATTATTCACGCGTGGGATTTGTATTATGAGGTGCATTGCGGTAAGGAGAACGATGAAGCAAGTTTTTTTTTTTTTTTTTTTGTGGGGAGTAAACAGACCGAAGGAGAGAGAAAAAAACAACAGACGTCGCCTGGGGATTTGGATGACTGGAACAAGGCCACATTACCCGAATCCCTCTGTTGTGGACATTGGGAGAGCAAACACCCGTGGGGTTATTGTGCGTAACAGAGAACCGATGAATTATTCCATAAATTTGTGTAACTTATTTCTTGTTTGTTTGCGTTTATGTTTGTGCTGTGTGGGTATTTTACCTCTTTGTCATTCCTTTGCCGAGGAAGCATCATCGATCGACAGGAAACACGTCGGTGCGTCTACAGTCAGGGAGACACACGGGGAAAGTCGTTTGCTGTCACTCATTTTTTTCTCTTATTGGTTTTCCCATTTGTGTCTTTTAACAGTCTTTTACGCTTCGACTTTTTCTTTTTCTTTTTATTGTTTGGTTTGACTTGTTTCAAATGAAATCACACGTGGCGCATTTGTCACTTGGCCTTGTGGCTTCTTTCTCACTGGCAACCGGTTCAATAGTCCTGTGTATTTGCTTTCGCGCTGCCTCTTGGAGGGTGGAGGTGTGACGAAGACGGGGTCTTTTGTGCGGACGTTTCATAGAAAGCGGGAGGATCCGATATGTCGCCGGGAGAAGTGAGTTCTCACCGTGTCTTTTCCCCGCTGATTTGGAGGCGCTTTGCCCCCTTAATTCCCTCCTATTCCCACGGTTTTTTTCCCGTGTGCGCAAGGCCCATCACATTTTGTTCTGCGTGGTCAACGCCATGGCATGTTATTTTTCGTTATGCGAGCTCTCTGCCTTCGAGGCCGTCGCCACCCTGTGGCAGTCCTCTGCCCTCCGATGTCACTGAGGACGATGATCCTGTTTTTCCCTTTTTGCTGCCAAACAGTACGATGCCGCTGACGCAACTGGCCAAACTGCTTCCGGATGAGGTGCTTGAGAAATTAGAAAATGGGCTCAAGAGCCACCTGGAAAATTTTCCTGCACGCTACCGTATTTTCCGTGGAACGAACGGGCTTCTCCATGCCCAGTGCGTGACACCCGCCGGCAACAATGGTAATAAGAGCACAGAGGAGGGCAAGGTGGAAGAGACTCAGGGCAAGAAGAAAGTGTCATCGTCACTTCCAATTGTCCCGGGCCGCTTTCTCACTCTCGAGAGTTTTATGAGATTCAATTACGTAGCACGCCCCTCGGGGACGGTTGATTGTAATGCCTCTCATAAAGAAAAAGATGAGAATATTCAAATGATGAAGCACTTTTTTCATGGGTATGTGCACCCCGTGAAAAGCGCGGAATTGTGGTTACTCACAGCAGAATATAAATTAAGCAAGTTTCCATCAGCAGAAGCAGCGGCGACAGTGACTGGAGTTGAGAAAAGGACTGTTGTTGAACCCGAAATGACAGGGGTGATGGAAGGAAAAGAGGTCCTTCAGGCGTTTCGGTGGGTGCATCTTGATGATAGGGAGAAACTAAATCAGGCAGTGAGCATGTTACGCAGTGAAGCCTGTAGCGATTCACTGGGAAACGACGTGGGGGAGAAGAGAGCTTCACATGGTGAAGTTTCCTCTGCAACTACTTTTAGAAGGAGTTCCACTTTTGTTCGCTTCCTAGTCCCTACTGCGCCTCTCCCAATGGATGCCACAACCTCGTCGCATTGTTTAGAAAATGGGATTGAGGATTACAATTTTTACCGCATGTGTCGTGCGTTGAGTACAACAACGTTTATGCGACTCCCGGAGCTGCAGGATGTCGTGGAGGGATGGCTGACGCAGCCTTTAGCAGCCGTCCTGGCAATAGCGGGGGAAGAGAGCAAGATGAGTGTGGGGCTGAATGGTGTGGATGAAAAACGCTCCTTGTTGGAATTTGAATGTGACCCCGACGACTCGACTCGCATTGTGGGGGTACGTTTCTGGCTTGACGAGGAACGCTACCTGCCGCCGCAGTACCGTAGTATGTCACCCGCAGAACTAGAGAAGGAACTGTCTGAGTTGGAGAAAATAACCCCTAAAGATCTGAACCAACTATCCAATCATAAGCGTGTGAAGATTATTGATAGAAAACGTCTGCTAAAGCGCTGCATTGCCCTGCACGAGTTGGGCGTGTCTCCCATTTGCCATCCGGATGTTCTGGCGTACTATGTCTTTGATATCCTTCCCATGGATGGCCAGCTTATACTTACCGGCCACTTGCCCAAGTTGCTCCCTGAAACTATGCGGCGCATTACGGACGCGCGTTCTCGTGCGTGGTTGAGAGGATATCCACACCTTTTCCGCTTGGTGGAGACTCCCCCTGAGGTCTGCGTCCAACGGATGAGGGCCTCTGCCGCGAACAGCAATGAAGACGACAAACAAGATGAGTCCCAAAAGTTCAAAGGAGAAGAGCAAGACACTGCGACGGAGCCTTTGGAGGCGTCTTGTGAATATCAGCAGCGGCTTTTAGATGATCCTGAGGAGCAATTGCGAGTAGTGGTCTCCATTGTAGCCGCGCGTTTGGAAACATGTGGAACGCGGAAATTGCTTCCGTCACATATACCAAAATTTATCAGCAGCGATGTGCGGCGTAAAATATTTCCTCGGGGCTCTGGTGGTCCCAAAGAATACCTCATGCGGTACCCGGAAGTGTTTATTCTCACGGATGGGATTCACCCGCATGAACCAGTGGTCACGCTTGCCCCCAAATATCACCTCAATCCTCGGTTGCCATCTGCAAGCGATACCGTTTCTGCAACTGCTGCAGATGCGAATGGGAAGGGAGAATAACTTTTTTGCAATATAAGAAACTGTAAATTACGCCTTGAAGACTTTTCCCCCCTACTGGTGTATGTGTGTGCATATATATATATATATTCTTTAATTATTAATTAACATTGCATTTGATGTGTCCAAATGCCCCTGTTTTCAATTCTCTAGTTCTTTGCTCGGTTTGAGACGGGGCTCAAACCCGCAGCATTCGGACAGGAGCAGGGCAGAGTGAACGAATAAAGTAAAAAGGAAGTGAAGATTTAGAAAAAAAAAAAAAAAAAACAGTAAAGAAAACAGAATTGTAAAAAGGGGAAAAGTTGAGAAACGACGGATGTTCTCTTCGAGAGCACCAGCGGTAAAAGCAGAGGGAACTTTGCTGCAACCATTACGGCCAACGAGGCCCTCTACGACAAAACCCACCAAGCCAGATTACTTTCCCATGTCTCTTGTACGGAAGCCCATGGGTCCTGCGATTTATCCAGGGGCCGCAGCCGCAGAAGATGTCTCAAAGGGGCTTTTGGTAAGCGATGCATTACACGACATGACATTCTACACGGGGGTCTCCGAATCCTTGCCCGATGCCGGACGCCCAGTGCTTAACTCGCTGTTATTTAGTCAACGACATGTGGTTAATGACAGTCCTTCGGTTGAAGAAGAAATTGCAAGTATAAATGAGCGCATACGTCTATGGCGTGCTTCCCGCCTCCAAGAAGTATTCACGAACTACGAACACAGCAAGCAACAGGCCCTACTAGACGAGAAAGTGGAGGAGCGCATAAAAGAGCGTCAGGCTGCGGAGCGAGATCGCACTATACGCCGTGTCTCTCGGATGCTTGATTCTCTCATCCCCGAATTGGAAAAGGCGATTACAAGGACGTCTGAGGCAAAATTAGATGTGCTCAACGCTGCTCGACACGAGGCTCTCCTCAAAAAATGGAAAGAGCGGGACGAGATGCAACAACGTTTCCTGCGGGACATGCGAATTGCGGAACGCCGTTGGCTTGTTGACCGTCAATTTCAAAGAAACATGGATGAGCGCAATTCACTGGATTCCCAGCATTACTACAGTTTTTTGGAGCGCAAAATGGAGGAACGTTTGGCGTTCCGTCATTTGTGTGAGGCCTTCTACAACGAAAAGATTATTGTCGGTGTGTATGACGATGAAAGAGAAGTAAGGAAAAGAATGATTCGGCTAGAGGCTGAAGATAGGATTGATATAAGCAAAAAACTGAGTAAGTTTATTCCTACTAAGGAAATGGCAGTGGCTACTGAGGACAAAAGAACAGAAAAGGATGACTCTATAACATCGGGCCCGAAAAACACACAAGAACCCGGGAAGAACGTGGAAAAAACTAAGGACACTCAGGCTGCCGAGCAGCAAGAGGATGTTCAGGAACTGGTGGCCCCGGCTGAGAACGTTCGAGAACTGGTGGCTCCGACTGAGGATGTTCAGGCCGCCAGGCAGCAGGAGGATATTCGGGAACTGGTGGCTCCGGCTGAGAACGTTCGAGAACTGGTGTCCCCGACTGAGGATGTTCAGGCCGCCAGGCAGCAGGAGGATGTTCAGGAACTGGTGGCTCCGGCTGAGAACGTTCGAGAACTGGTGTCCCCGACTGAGGATGTTCAGGCCGCCAGGCAGCAGGAGGATGTTCAGGAACTGGTGGCCCCGGCTGAGAACGTTCGAGAACTGGTGTCCCCGACTGAGGATGTTCAGGCCGCCAGGCAGCAGGAGGATGTTCAGGAACTGGTGGCTCCGGCTGAGAACGTTCGAGAACTGGTGTCCCCGACTGAGGATGTTCAGGCCGCCAGGCAGCAGGAGGATGTTCAGGAACTGGTGGCCCCGGCTGAGAACGTTCGAGAACTGGTGGCTCCGGCTGAGAACGTTCGAGAACTGGTGTCCCCGACTGAGGATGTTCAGGCCGCCAGGCAGCAGGAGGATGTTCAGGAACTGGTGGCCCCGGCTGAGAACGTTCGAGAACTGGTGGCTCCGACTGAGGATGTTCAGGCCGCCAGGCAGCAGGAGGATATTCGGGAACTGGTGGCTCCGGCTGAGAACGTTCGAGAACTGGTGTCCCCGACTGAGGATGTTCAGGCCGCCAGGCAGCAGGAGGATGTTCAGGAACTGGTGGCTCCGGCTGAGAACGTTCGAGAACTGGTGTCCCCGACTGAGGATGTTCAGGCCGCCAGGCAGCAGGAGGATGTTCAGGAACTGGTGGCCCCGGCTGAGAACGTTCGAGAACTGGTGGCTCCGGCTGAGAACGTTCGAGAACTGGTGTCCCCGACTGAGGATGTTCAGGCCGCCAGGCAGCAGGAGGATGTTCAGGAACTGGTGGCCCCGGCTGAGAACGTTCGAGAACTGGTGGCTCCGGCTGAGGATGTTCAGGCCGCCGAGCAGCAAGAGGATGTTCAGGAACTGGTGTCCCCGGCTGAGGATGTTCAGGAACTGGTGGCTCCGGCTGAGAACGTTCGAGAACTGGTGTCCCCGACTGAGGACGTTCGAGAACTGGTGTCCCCGGCTGAGGATGTTCAGGAACTGGTGGCTCCGGCTAAGAACGTTCGAGAACTGGTGTCCCCGACTGAGAACGTTCGAGAACTGGTGTCCCCGACTGAGGATGTTCAGGCCGCCAGGCAGCAGGAGGATGTTCAGGAACTGGTGGCCCCGGCTGAGAACGTTCGAGAACTGGTGGCTCCGGCTGAGAACGTTCGAGAACTGGTGTCCCCGACTGAGGATGTTCAGGCCGCCAGGCAGCAGGAGGATGTTCAGGAACTGGTGGCCCCGGCTGAGAACGTTCGAGAACTGGTGTCCCCGACTGAGGATGTTCAGGCCGCCAGGCAGCAGGAGGATGTTCAGGAACTGGTGGCCCCGGCTGAGAACGTTCGAGAACTGGTGGCTCCGGCTGAGAACGTTCGAGAACTGGTGTCCCCGACTGAGGATGTTCAGGCCGCCAGGCAGCAGGAGGATGTTCAGGAACTGGTGGCCCCGGCTGAGAACGTTCGAGAACTGGTGGCCCCGGCTGAGAACGTTCGAGAACTGGTGGCTCCGGCTGAGGATGTTCAGGCCGCCGAGCAGCAAGAGGATGTTCAGGAACTGGTGGCCCCGGCTGAGAACGTTCGAGAACTGGTGGCCCCGGCTGAGAACGTTCGAGAACTGGTGGCTCCGGCTGAGAACGTTCGAGAACTGGTGTCCCCGACTGAGGATGTTCAGGCCGCCAGGCAGCAGGAGGATGTTCAGGAACTGGTGGCCCCGGCTGAGAACGTTCGAGAACTGGTGGCCCCGGCTGAGAACGTTCGAGAACTGGTGGCTCCGGCTGAGGATGTTCAGGCCGCCGAGCAGTGAGAAGATGTTCGGTGAGCCTGTTATTTGTGTTGTTTGGACCACGGACGCGGTGGTTTGGTGTGTGTTTTAGACATGTACACTAGATGGATTTGGCTTGAATGTATATGGCTTGGACCATGTGTTTTTATTGTTTTTTGAAATTCTGATTAAAGATGGACGTCTTTTGTTCATATCGTGCGTGATACTTATTATTCTTTATTTTGATACCCTTATATATTTTGATTGTTGTTGTTTTTCTTTATTTCTTTCTGTTGTTAGTGGTGGTTGTAGTAGAAGAAACTACGAGAAGAGGAAGTGTGTGCTGTGAGGAATTGCGGGGGCTGAAGTAAAAGAGGCGGAGGTGTTTTTGTTGCCGTGCTGGCGCCTTTCAATGGACGATGCAGACACCGCCGCCACCGTACGCGCAACTTTTCCCGAACACGGGCACTTTAACGGATCGCGTGTTTGAGGGACCTTCGTTACTTTTTGATTCTTCTGCCTTTCCTGTGGGGGCGGTGATGGGGCCCATACAAGGTGGAAATGCGGCGGGAGTTGAACTGAAGTCTCTTCCAATACCACCACCACCTTCTTCTTTGTGCACCGGCATCAGTGCACCCACTCTTGCACCGCCCACAGCTGGTGATTTTAGGACATCGAAAGATGCTGTTAACAGCGATGTGATCTTGCGACGCCTTTTTTTGCTTCAGGACGAGATAAACTCCATCAAGTTTTTTCTCAACGAACAGTCGTCACCTTCTGCTCCTTTAGATGTCCGAGCTGCGCCTGTCCGGCCTTCTTCTGGGCCGCCGTCGGCTGCTTCTCCTCCCCACACATCGCCCGATGAAAGGGAGGACGCGTGGAAGCGGATTTTGATCTCTCAGCAGGAGCAAATTGTATCTCTCGGTGAGACGCTTTGCCGCAGCCTCCGTTCTCTTTCACTAGCGCCAGCAACGGCAACGGGAAAAGACGGAAAGGAAGAGGCACGAACGGGAAATGACGAGAAGGCCGTGGCGGTGGGGGACACAAAAAGCAATGAAAAACAGAATGGCAATACTATGACTGAAAGGGTTTACCAGGAGGTTTCCGTTGTTTCTCTGAAGGATGGCACGGTGGACCTTGTCCATCTTTTAACGACCTTGTACAACCTTCCAGTTCTCTATTGTGGATGCCACCACGAGCAGCTCTACTCCAAATTTGGTGAGGAACTTGTTGCAGCAGCTTTGGGTACCACCAGTCATGAGTTGCTGGAAAAGTATGCCTCTTTGTTGGTGTTGCGTCTGAATGAAGGGTACGCCGTTGCTGAGATTGGGGTGGACCCTCGTATATCGGTGGATGCTTTTGTTGCAAAGAGTGGTGATTTGGTTTATAAGGTTTTGGCGCCTTTACCATTTCCTGTGCTTCAACAGGTGTTGGAGCGAACACAATTCCCATCCGAGATACCGGCGTACCAAATCTTGTTTTCTGCATGCGAAGCTTATCATCATCGTCTTTTAGCAAAATCAGCGCCAAGTACGAGAGCCGTGTCGTTAGGAAGATCATGCGTTGGATCCTCATCATCGTTTGTGTCATGCACCTTGAGCCATCAATGCGAAGCAGAAGAAGCAGAATTACTGTTCCATGGAGTGCGATTTCTTTGGCTGCCCTTGCACTTCATGGAGAACGAGCTCCGGCGTTGCGAGGGCTTGGGAATGACGGCAGAGGCGTGTCACTGTACGATCTACGCAGGGCTAATTCTGCGTCTCCGACAGGCCATTCAAGCAAAACGATCCTTGAAAGAGTTAACAACAACTCCAACGCGGCCTCTTCCTGCTGTTTTCACCACGAAACCCTTTCTTACAGAATTAAACCGCTTGCGCCCGTCATATTATTTTATTACCCCCACGGAAAAAGAACAGCTATTGGCCGGTAGTAAGATGGATTTTGTTCAGGCTAGGCGGCTACAAGAGCAGTGTGATGCAACTCTGTAGTTGGCAGCTGTTCGCCACCTTTGGGCGAATAACAGTTGTACTCAGCGCCTTTTGGGGGGTGAGGAGGGAGCACTTTGTGTGTGTGTGGGATTGGGGAATTGCGGTCGGGACCACCGGTATCTCGCTTTTGTGAATGTTGTTTTGGTTAGAGGTTTTTTGTAGGCGCATGGACTGACTGTTGTTTGATTTTAACCGGCCTGTACTTATCTTTTACTTTTTCTCCATTTATTTGCTTTCTCCTGTGGTGCATAATGCGGTTGTGGAATTTCTCGCGAACACATTGGTTGTGGTGGGACAAATGAAAATAACTATAAGAAAAGGATAGCGGAGGCTGCTGAAGAGACACAAATGCGTGAGAAGGTTGTGCCAATCCCGTTTTTAAGTAAGGAGGTCTCCGCGTGGCTTTATCGCACAACGCGTCGTGTGCGGGAGCACCCATACCGGGCCAGTGGCATTGTTCTTGGCGTTGCCGTGAGCACCATCCTGTATGAGGCGAACGTGACGCACAAGGACCGCATTCCCTCGCCCAATGTGAACAATCACCTTGAGTACGAACTCCGTCGCGAGCCGAAGGGTGTGAAATCGATGGAAGAGGGTGCATTGGAGAGGTCGCAGCATCAGTTAGGAGTTTCTTTTGTGAACAGTCAGGCATTGGATGATGAGTGGCGGAAACACAACGCGGCGGTACTGGGACGCGTTAGGGAGCTGGAACAACTCATTGCGAGCACTAGTGATTCAGAGAAGCGGGAGGAGTTGCAGCGTCTCCTTGATGAAGAGAAGGAATCCGAGAAGAAGCATGGCGGCACGACAATGAAGGTGACGAGTGGACAGCTTTATGTTCGTGAGCCACACTGGAATATTCGAAACAATGAGCGCAATTGGACGATTTTGGCGCGTGACCAGCAGCAGCAAAAAGATCACTACTGGTACCGCCTGGAGAGAAGTCGTGAGGATGACTTCGCGAGAAACACATACTCGCGTTTGTGATCTTGTCATAATAGCAGCACGCACTTTTGGGAAAGTTTCACGGAGGAGGAGGGCACTAAAATGGTTTTTGATATAGTTGTCCTGTTTTTTGGCAGAAACTAAATGAACTACTTGCGAATGAGGGGGGCGGATTTATTTATTTATTTTTTTTCAGTGGGGAGTTTTTGTTGTTGCTTTTTATTCAATTTGTTGTTACGCCGTTATTATTATTATTATTTTATCCGTCTATCATTTTTTTTGCTTGTTTTTTCTTTACCGTTTTTTGTGTGTGCGCTTATGTTTTGGGCAGTCAACGGCAGTTTTCGTTTTCTTCTTTCTCTCTGGCGATGCGGCTTGGGAGCCCCGCTCATCTCCGGCGGTTTTTCCCTGCTGAGGGGATGGCTGCCGCAATCACGTGTTGTTTGTCGCCGCGGTGCCTGGCTTCTTCGCGTCAGATTCACGGACGTTCGGGTAGAGGCGATCTGTTCTTTGTAAACTCGGATGCCCGTCGCCACGATATGCGGGCTCTCGTTCAGCTGCGCGGGCCACGGCAGAGCAGCCAAGCCACCTGCCCTGAAAGCGGTCAGTTGTACTACAAGAAGCTCATGCTGCATGCCGTGTCTGAGGGAGCCAATTCTGGGTCAGAGCAGTACCGACACGCCGCCAGCACGTGGGCCTATCTTCTTCCTTCCCTGTTGCGTTGCGCCGAACTTGCTGTTGCGGAAACACTCTGGGCGAAGTTATGTCGGATTGAATTGGAAGGAAACAAGGGAGAGGGAACATTGCTCACTGAGCGTGAGAAGAAAAGTTTGCGGGATGGTCAGGAATTGTTTCGATACGAGCTCCATCAGCGGATACCATTGCTGGAGGAATCCGTGACTTTTGCTGGGCTTCGGGAGCTAATCAGTTGGTTCACTGTGGCTCGAAGGTCCTGGGTCCGCCTGCCCACCACCTCTTCATCGCCAAAGACACCCTCTATAGACATCGCGACCAATCATTTGGTGTCCATGGAAGGTTCACTTCTTCCATCGCGTGATATTTTCTCGGTTTTTGCAGCTCCTAATGTTTTCAGAGACACCACACCAGGGAGCTGTCAGACATACAATATGGCGATGCGTGTGGCACGGCTGACAGAAGTTGTTGTTCTTTCTGTGCACGATGAAATGGCTCGCCTTGGCAATGATGAGAGCATTGGGAAAGATAAGCCAAAAAGTGCGCGTCTACTAGAGAAGGAAGAGAAGATGCGTCAATGCCTTTTGGATGAATTTCGCTGGCACAACATATCCTACCGTGCAGTGGTCTCTAATAACGCGGCGGAAAGAGGTGAGAGAGGGGGTGCAAAGCCAAGCCCCATACACGCATTGGAATAAAAAGGAAATGGAGTGCTTTATTGAAATGCATCATAAAAAAAAAAAAAAAAAAAAGACATCTACAACATTATATATATATTGGCGTCGAATTTTTTTTTTCTTTTTTGTGACGTCACTGTTATCTTCACTTTTTACCCTTTCTTTTTTTTTTTTTTTTTTTCCTCTTTCTGTGTGTGTGCTTGTTTATCCTCCGCTTGTTTTTTGAGTTGATTGGCGACTGCTTCATGGTGTCAGGAACACCTTCCCATTGTTGGGAGACAAGTGAGACGCGATGTCTACTCTTTGATGGCGAGGTCGTGCGAGGGCAGCTGCTCTCGGAGCTCTCACTGCTGGCTGTGGCCGTGAGCGACAACACACGCCACACGGCGGTGCCCCCCGAGCCATTCACGTTGCGTCTCATTATGCATTTCATGGAAGTTGCTTCCAGGTATCCCATGGTGGGTACACTTCTGCTGGACTGCCCGCGGCGCCTGGACGAAGTCATGGAAGAAGAGTTGATGCATTGGCTCCGCGAAGAAAGCGCCCTGATATTTTTTTCAGGAGAGCGTAACGATGCGTCCCAGAGTCTTTGTCATCATGTTTTTTCAGGAAATCCAGCGCCGACGGACGTTGCTCTAGACAGTGACAGTGGATGCCCCATATGTATGTGGACTGCTCAGTGGCCGCATGGTTTTTGGGAGGCAGTGGAAAAGGGAACCGTGAAGATACTTGTCCGTTGCGCACTGAGCGCATTTCCCAGTTGTCTCCCACCCCACACACGTCGGTCGCCTTTCCAGCGACCGAGTGATGCGGCAATAGGAGCGGGACAGTGGATTCATGTTAATGGATACGTCACAGCTGTGTTTTTTCTCCATCGCGAACTTGCGTACCCGGCACCTGTGCTAGAATTTCAACCGTTGCTTTCCAACTGCAACGGGATGATCGGGCAATCGCCGCTTTTGCTGGATCTCTCGCTCCTGCCGGTCGCTGAGGCGCGCGCTGTAGCTGTTGTTGGCGAACGCATCCAAGTGGTGGGTCTCCTGGAATTGGCTTGTAGCAACATGGGCACGGTGCTTTACTCTAGACGTCGTCATACTGCCGCTGCTGCCGCCTCATTTTCATCTTCCTTGTTCCCTTCGTCTGGACAGATTCTCATTGAAGCACGTGCCGTTCGTACTGCTAATTTTGCTTCGCATTGGTCAAAAGATCCGTTGACGGCAACGACGACCTCCGCATCGTCTCCTTTTTTTCCGCAGGAGGTGGATGGTGTTTTTGCGGTAAACGAGGAGTGGGAGGCGGCGGCATTTCTTCAGGCGCGATGCAGTTGGGAGACTGTGGCCGGGGCAGCTGCCTTTGCATTAGCGAAGGGGACGGGCGGGATTCTCCAGAAACAAAAACCGAATGGTCCATGTCGAATGGAAGCACTTTTAGCGGCTTCAGGAGCGTTTGCCCTACCCACGGCGCTCTGGGCAGTTGTGGGCATTGCTCTTACCTCGACGACAGCAAATGTCGGTTCCATTGTAGCCTCTGTTGTGGGACCGTCGGATAGTCTTTCTGTCTTGCAAACGTTTTTGTTGGAGTTGGCTGCTGAAACAAATATGGTGGTGCCTCTTGTGCACGGTGTGGAGGGTGCGCTCCTCCCGGTATATACCAGTGTAGCAGCTTCTCAAGTGAGCATCCCTATCCCTGTTGAAGTTGGACGCCGCATCGAGTGTGTGCGTGGGGGATTGCTCAACATGGCCCATCAACGTGTTCTATTTGCACCATCATTGCATGCCCTTACAACTTCTGCCTTGCATGCAGTACAAGGCGTTCTCAAGCAAAATGAGCATGTTGTGGTGCGTGAAGGGGGCCAGCGCGTGGGGTGCAGAGCTGCAGGGGCTTTTATCGGAATAACACAGGAATCGATGTTGGCGCAGGATCGTCAGCTTTTTTGTTTTATGGAGCGGGGGGACGTTGTCCTTCACCTGCCCACCAACACCAACTCCTGCTCTGTGGAGGATGACCATTTTGCGATCCTTGAGTTGCTCCTTAACAATGTGGAGTGCGGGGAGAGGTCTGAGATGGTAGCAATTGACCACATCAATCGATGTAAAAGTCAATGGCTGAAATGCTGTGAATGGACACTGCATCCATTTGTGGATGAGCCTAGCGTACCACAGATCTCTACCGCGTGCGCGGCGCTGCTTCGTTCTTTTTTCTTTACGGCTAAAGCAAACTGTGCCGAGGCTGTGGATGCCGGTATGATGACAGCTTTGGCGAAACTCACATGTGCCCATGCACTGCTTCGTCAGAGAGTACGTCATGGAGGAACATGTGGGAACATTCAAAAAACAGCCTCATCCGCTTGCGTCTGCGGTGTGAAAATGAGAGAACACTCTGAATCCACTGCACTTGTCGATGCGGTGGTGGCGATAGCACTCTGTGATGCTTCTTTGAAGTTTATCGCAGATGTGTCGCTGATTGGAAAGTCATTCACTTTTGATCTGATGGTAATTGACACCCAATTTGACGTCCTACATTTTGCCAAGGAACTTTATGCACATCTGCTCGCCAACATGCCAAAACCTCCGATGTGAGACAACGTGGCTGCCAAAGAACGCAATGCTCGGTATAATAACCGCGCATCAGCAGCAGCAAGTAATACCACAGACAGAAATACAGAGAAAACAGGGATATATATATATATATATATATATATATATATATTGATTTTATTTATTTATTTTCATTTTTATTTGCCTTTGCGATGGCGTTGCTTTCTTGGTTGTGAACGATTTTTTGCTTGTCGGTTTTTTGCCGCTGAACTTTTTTGGGTGGAGTGAATGTGAATGGGAGATTTATTCTCCAATGGTGACTGGCGGTTTGGCCTTTTTACAGACCAGGCCAATTATATCCTACAAGGCAAAATAAGCGCATGTATTTTGTTATATTTTTTGTTCTTTATACAGAGCTGCAGTGACATCTCTTTGTTGTTTGTTCTTTTTTTTTTTTTTTTTTTTGGAATACGACAGCTCCTGCGTCCTGTAAGCGTACCTCTTGTTTTGGAAACACACGCACACACAAATACTCATTCACACACACGATGATGTTTGGCCGGCCTCCTGCGCCCCAGGTGAACTGGGAGGAGATGTATTTCTACCAGAAGTTGCACCACCTCTTTGATCACGGCTCGGACTGGATGATCTCTAAGCTTAACTGGTGGATCCCCTCCGTTGCAGCAGGGATGGTGCTAAGTCTTTTTTTGCTAAGCGAGAATCCCATTGGTGAGGGCGCTGCCATTACGCTGCCCAATTTTTCGCCTGTGGTGCGTACGCCAAACTTTGGGTTACAAGTCCCGGAACGCGAGGGGGCAGCATCAGATGAGAACGAGGAGGATGAGAATGACGAGGAGGTGTTTTAAATACGCATGTGAAGGGAGGGGGAGGAAACCACGGACTTCTTGTCCCGCTGGATCGAATGTTGTGCGATCATAGGGAGGCGGGGATGTGATGATGAGGATGTTGTTTACGGCCTGTGTATCATGCACATTTATTTATTTTTTTGTAGGCCTTTCCAATAAAAAACTTAAACAAAAATTCGACACATTCACACACCGAGTGGTATACGTACATGTATACATGTATGTATGGAGGAAATGGACCGATCGTTAGGGATTATTACAACCACAAACATTTTTTTTTTTTTTCTGCAACTGACGACGATTATGTTGACGCTGGTGGGGGGTGTATTTTTGTTGCTGTTGTTGTTGTTGTTGTTGAGACCTGCTCTGTTAGCCATGTTCGCGTGTGTGTGTGTGTGTGTGTGTGTAAGTTAAAGTTAACGCGAAACAGACGAAAGCCACACTTGTTTTTGTTGTTGTTATTTAATTTCCTTTTTTTTGAAGTTTTGCTACGAGTGTTCACGAGTCATGTTGTTACTGTCTTCATGGCGAACATTTCTTTTTTTTTTATTTATTATTTTTGCTCCGTAGTAAAACACAAAGGGAGGGCGAGGGGAAAGGGGGATTGTTGTGTATGCTTTCCTATGAGTGGTTCATGGAAACTAAGGACGGAGAGCGGCAGCGCAATCGCCGGTATTCATAGCGACAAGGGGCCATCTCTTATCTTCTTGGAGAACGCTGGTGGTGCGTGGGACGCCAACGATGGATTCCGAACCGGAGGACTTCTTTGGTTTTCTTTAAACGATCTAAACTGACGTGACGTTCAGCGATGATTCTGGTGGTTTATGTGACTGACCTGCTATCTGTCATTTTTTCAATTGTAATCTGTCTTTTGCGTGGTACGTCTCCTTTTTTTCTTTTTTTTTTCTTTTTAACAGCTATTGGAATAGAAGCTCTACATCAAATGACGTTGTCTTTTTATCGTGGCAGCCTTTTTGCCAATTGAACAGCGACGGGGAACCGTTATTTTTGTTTTGCATGACGCGTTTGGAATTGCGTCTTGTGAGGCAAATTACGTTCCCGCCGGCTGTCCTCAAACCGATGCAATGTCGCACCGCAGCAGCTGCTGAGGCTGCGCTCCACCAGGCATGTGTGTGTGAGGCCATTTTGTATGGCAGACGGGGGCCGAGGCGCATTTATAATTCCTCTCCATTTTGCATATATATTTTGTGCGCATGCGGCTATGATTCCTCTTAGCTTGTTGTTTTTATCGAGCGCGCCGCACTGAAACTTTGATTTTTCTCCGTGAACGCCTCCATTTTTTATTGATGGATGCCTGATTGCAGGCGGTGTTGCACCGCCGTGTGTTCGGTGCTTTGTGGAATGGGTTGCTCGTGCTTGTTCTTTTTTCTTCTTTTCTTTTGACCTCAGCGAAGGGTGGGCGAGCGGCGGGGAAAAAAAAAAAAAAGGAAGAAAAATATGACTGATGAACGGGACGTGTCTGTGCTGCAGGCGTTTACAGCCGTGGGGGGCGACGACAAGGCGTGCGTCCGTCTCTTTTCGCGGGGTGGCTCTACTCCGGGGTGCTACGTCCTGGGCTCGTGGGCCGGATTCATTGCGCGGGAGTACATCCGGTCCACCGCGGTGTTGAAGAACTGGGGCGGAGTGGATGTGGTGGTCGTGAACGACAGTATTGCGAAGGAAGTCATCCGTGATTGTCTTCTGCGGCGTGGTGCCTCTGTCGAGTACTACGAACGACCACCCGGTGGCGGGACGTACGCATGTGTACAGCGCGGCTCACCGGGGAACATTACCGACTTTGAGGCAACGCTTTTTTCGTTTGAAGAGGCGGAAATCCAGTTGATGGCAACTGGAGCAATTGTTCTTGAGAAAAATAACACAAGTGGCAACGCGGGTAAATGCATGATTTCAGGCGGGCAAGGAATCAGGGTGGGATTTGCCGCACTGAACACAACTCTTCGGACCCTGATTTACGCGGAGTATCTTGACACGCTGCAGCTGACCAGTCTTGATGCCTTGATGGCGCAGTGCAATCTGAAGGAGCTTATCTATTTGGACAGGAGCCGATGCAGAATTAGCAGCAATAGTAACAAGGGAGGAGGAGCCGCAGGTGTTGCCGGCGGAAGCGGGCGAGAAGAAGAGTCGTTACGGGCGGTGAAACAGTTGTGTGAGCGTGCAAACATTACTTACCGTGAATTGGGACACAATGGCGCTGCTCCATCACATGATTCTCCGCAGAAACCCCTACAGCCGCAGGGAAGACGAGAGGGCAACGTGACCAAAGGCGATTTTCTCAGTGCTCTTGAAGACATTCTTCGTGTGCCAGAGGACCGGCTTGCCCTTTCTAACTGTCCATTGGCGTCTCGAGCGATTGAATATCTTGTCTCTAATATTATTGATAACTTTGACGCAACGAATCACCGTGCTTTCTACTTAAAGCATACAATTTCATCCACCTTTATGAAACTGGACACCGCGGCAATACAGGCATTGCACATTATCCACCAGAAACCAGAAGCGCGCGGTTCCCTTCCCACATCCGTCTATTCGTGGCTGAACCGCTGCGTTACCGGCATGGGCTCTCGGATGATGCGGCAGTGGTTGCTTCAGCCGCTGCGCAACGCAGAGGAAATCAATCAGCGTCTTTCCCTTGTAGAATTGATGGTGGAAGACTCGATTTTGCGGGATGCTCTTCTTTCGCAAGTGCTACGATGTTGTGGTGACATGGATCGTTTAAATCGCAAGCTTCAACGACGTAGCATCGCTCTCAAAGATCTTCAGTCCATTCTGACGTTTGTCAACACCATTCCGCGGGCCGTGCAGGTGTTGAGGACCCACCAAGGCGGGCGAAATGACAAACTGCTGATGGATGAATACATCGCCCCATTGGAGGACATTAACGAGCATTTCTCAAACCTCCGCATCCTTATCACAGCAACTGTTGACCTCTCCGACGAAAACACTACTCGCATCAACCCTGAATTTGATGACGAACTGATGGAACTAGAGGAACAACGAAAAAGCGTGGTCAAGGCCATTGAAAGCGAACACCAACGCGTGATGAAAGTGTATGGATGGACAGAAAAGCAACTGAAGTGTGAGTACCATACGACATACGGTTATGTCTTTCGTGTAACGCGAAAAGAAGACCAACAGGTGCGCACAAGCAAGGAACTAATTACGGTGAGCACTTCCAAGGACGGTGTAAGATTTGTTTCAGAACGACTTTCTTCACTTAGTGAGCAATATAAAGGCATTCGAAAGGTATATGATGTGCGTCAGCAAGATCTTAAGCAGAAGCTTGTAAGCACCGTCGTCACTTATCTGCCAGTACTTGATGATGCAAAGGAGTTGATTGCGGCGCTGGATGTTTTTGTGGCCTGGGCAACGGTGGTAAGGGATTCTCCACATCCCATGGTTCGTCCAACGATTAGGACACCTGAGACAGAGGAGGAACAAGAGGGCAATAAAAGTCTTATCACGCTTCTTAATGTTCGTCACCCGCTTGTTGAACTCCGTCAGCCAGTGTACACACCCAACACGTTACATCTAACGGACGATGCCAATGCGCTTATTATAACGGGACCCAACATGGGAGGCAAATCAACTTTTATGCGGAGCGTGGGAATATGTGTTGTGCTGGCACAGGCAGGCTGCTTTGTGCCGGCCGATTCGGCGGATATGGTAACAAGGGACGCCGTCATGTGTCGTGTTGGAGCCACGGATCACCTTGCACAAGGGGTGTCGACGTTTATGGTGGAGATGTTGGAATCTGCTGCCATTTTAAACGCTGCTACGCGAGATTCACTTGCCATTATTGATGAACTTGGCCGCGGAACGTCTACTTACGATGGGTTTGGTTTGGCTTGGGCCATTGCACAGGAGGTGGCGGTAAAGGCTCGTTCTGCGCTTCTCTTTTCTACCCACTTCCATGAGATGACACAGCTAGCAGAGCATCACACCAATGTGAGGAATGCGCACTTTGGCGCCGAAGTCAACACGGTCGAGGGGACACTGCGCTTTTCTTACCGACTGGAGCCTGGGCCGTGTGGTCGCAGTTACGGTCTGTATGTGGCCCAGCTGGCCAACCTCCCAGAGGAAGTTGTGCAATCTGCTAAGTGCAAGGCGGCAGGGTTGGAAACCTTTGAGCAGGACGAGGGGCAAAAAAGGGACTACGCAACCATCTCTTCTGCTTCTTCAGAGATCACCGAACGACTTGCTTACTATGCAAAATGCATACGTGGGCTAAATGACACCAAATTGGCGGCTGGCAATGAGGAGGCGAGTCAGCGGCTGCGTCTTGAAATCCAGCAAGACTCTCTCATATCGTATTTGCTTTAAGTGTAAAATGAAAAGGGAAGGTGAGCTCTTGTCTGTCTCTTTTGGCCTTGTGGTGGTTGTTTTTTCATTAATATTATTATTTGTTGTTGTTGTTGTTTTTGTTATTTGTTATCCACCCGCCGTAGGCCTTTGCCGATGATATGGCGGGGCTCCCTCATAGAGAATTGGAAGAATTCCAAAGCTTATATATATATATATATATAACGAGAGAGAGTGTTTTTTTTTTTTTTTTTTTTCTAAGAGTGTCAGTGGGCCCTTCTGAAAAGAGCGAAAAACCACAAGAAAAGGTTTGGGAAAGTGAAGGAACCGAAAAGGGACCAAAGAAGACGTGAGTGTTGAATGAAATATGGAAGCGGATGTGTGCGTAAAAAAGCGAAGTGAAAGGGGGATAAGTGTATGAAGCGGACTTGCGTTTCTTCTTTCGAACTGTCCAACTCCTTCATATCTTTCTCTCTTTACATATATATATATATATATATATATGGGCTTCTTATTTGTTCTTTGCTTAACTTTGAACTTAAAAAAGAAGAAAATAAAGGAAGGCAGGGAGTCGGAGGAAAAAAAAAAAAGAGTTTTCGGGGTACTTAGAGGAGTGATCGTGCTGCTAACGCATAAAAAATGATAAAACGTTTTGTTTTTTGTCCACCCGGCCCGCCACCATCACCACTTCTAATAAGCTGCTGGAGCAAGATGCGCTTTGTTGAGGATGGGGATGCAGTGATTTACTATCTGCACATTAGGCATTGTACGGTAAACGGTGCCTCGGCAAGTTCGGACACTCGCTTGACGATTCTTTACAGTCATGGGAATGCGGAAGATTTGGGGAGTTGCTATGAAGGACTTGTAGCGTTGTCGCGTGCGATTGGGGCCGATATCGTTGTGTATGACTATTGTGGCTATGGCTTTTCAAAAGCGAGGGGTCAAAGTGGACCAACAGAGGAGCGTGTCTATAAGGACGCAGACGCCATATTTGCTGAACTTACCGGTCGTCTTAATATTAAGCCGCTCCAGGTTGTTCTCATGGGGCGCTCGATGGGTGGCGGACCCGCCTGCTACTTGGCTGCGAAGCATCATTCGACGATTGGTGGACTTATCCTGCTTTCCACTTTCACGTCATGTTTGGGGGCCGTTAATTGTTCCTGCCTACGTTACCTGTGCGTTAAAGACATGTTTCCTAACGAAGAATTTCTTGAGAGTGTTGTTGACTGCCCAGTGCTCATTATGCATGGGAAGAAGGACAGCGTGGTTTCCTTTAGTTGTGCCGAGCGATTATTGAAGATTGTCGAGCAGGTGCAAAAACGTTTCAAGAAAGAAGGAATGGTAAGCCACCATTGGTTTGCGAATTGCGGTCACAACGATATCGAGGTGGTGAGCATGGAAGAATTGAGAGAGCATCTCAAAACCTTCTTGAACCGTCTGACAATTCACAACACCGAACGGAGTACTCATTCCACTCCATAATCAATTTTTTGCTTATTTCTTCTGCTTTTTTTTTTTTTTTTTTTTTTTTTTTTTTTTTGTGTGTGTGTGTGTGAGTGTGTGTATATGAGTTAGGTTTGTTGGGGATAGATAAGTGTTATTTTGCTTTTTCTTGTTGTTGTTGTTGTGAGAAATGCTTCTAAATCGGTGGACGATTTTTTGTCGTGAGACCGATGTGGTACTGTAACGACTGCTCGCATTCCAATTCCACCGCTTACAACCCCTCTAATTTGGCACTGCCGTCTGCTGATTTCTGCTTTGTATCGTCACTGTTGCAAGAGGGCCATAATCAAGATACATGCACACTTATAAGTGCAAATATAAACGTGTATTGGCGTTGAATGAACCAATGCGGTGTGCATCACCTTCTCCCTTTTTTCTGTTTTCTTTTTTTTTTTTCTTTTCTTCTTCTTTTTGGGGTTGGGTCTCTACTGTGCAAGAGCGACGGGGCAAAAAGATGGAGAAACCCATGAAAGGGGAAAAAGTGCGTCCATTGCAAGTGCTTCCTCGCAACAGTTTGCATCCGGCTGGGCGCACTGGCGGACGTCACTCAGTAGGGAGCAGCGGCATTTGCAGCAGGAGTGGTTCTTCGTATGTTGTTGACTTTTCGGCGTCTCCACCGACGTGGGCTGCTCCGGGCGCAGGCTGTGTGACAGTGGCACAGCCGAGTCTCCCACCTGTCGACGACGCTGAGCCCCAAAATAGAAGAATGTCATCGGGGCACGGAGCAACTCCGTCTCGCACAAGTCTCATGGTAGTGCCTGAAGAAACGGTAGAAGAAGATGAGGGCACCAGGGATTCATTCTCCTCTTCGTCGAGTGCGTATATGCGGCACCACCGGTACGAAAATCCCTTCACCGCGTATCAGCCGGTGTCGGATCCGTACGATCGTCACCGCGAAATTGAGCGGCAGCGGCGGTTCATAAATGACAGTAAACGGCTGGGGCGGCCGTTCATTCCCAGCGGTGGACGAGCGTTAGAAAAGCCGACGCGTTATTTGCTGGGTGACTGCGTTGCTGCCATTTACCGCACGATTGGGCGTGACTGGCCTGAAACAGACCCAATGGTCATCTCCACTGCGGAGGACCTTGTTGTAGTCTACATGAAGCGAGCCCGTTTGCGCAACACGGACACAGTGCTGCGTTATATGAATGCATCCTTGAAGCGAAACGAAGCGGTGCGGGCGTTTGATCTAAGAAAAGTTCCGGAAGGGTGGGATTTACTTACGGATGACGGACATATAATGTACACTTTCAAGCCGCCGTGGGTGCGACAGCGGCGCTTTCTTCAGATCAAGTCGTGACCCGCAAAGCACATTAGAGAGAGCGAGGTAGATAGAAATTGAGTGAAATATTCGGCTAAGAGAGACAAAAGGAAAAAAAAAAAAAAGTGGTGGGGGGAAGAGTACTTATGAGTATTTATGTCTTTTTTTCTCTTTCTCCGTGTGTGTGTGTGTGTGTGCATGTATGAAGAAGTCACACTGGTGACTGAAGCTTTTTTTTTTTTTTTTTGAGGGTAATTTGTTGCATAACTCCTTTGAGGAGATGCCTTGCAGTTGAAAAGGAGAAGGAAGTACACATCCAATTGCGTACATCACTACGATTGTGCAACTTACACACACACACACACACGGAGAAGACAACAAAAGTAAAAAAAAAAGGTTACTTGGCCCTTTTAATGTGGTGCCATCAGGGCGACAAGGAACAATGCTTATTGCGTTGCGCGTGTTGTTTTCTGCTGGTTTCTTTTTTTTGTTGTTGTTGTTGTTTGTTTCTTTTGGTGCTTGTATTATGGTTTTATGTTGTACATTTTAGCAATTATAAAGACGGAGGCAAGAAGAGCGTTTTTGGAGTAAACGAAGAAAGAAAGGGAAAATGAATAAGAATAGACTTTCAGTCATTTCCCTTTTTTTTTTTTTTGCTCATGAGTACTTTCAGGCCGTATTTTTCTTTTTTTTTTCTTTTTTTTATTTCTCCATTTTTTTTTTTTTTTTTTTTTTTACGCCTACTCACGTAGGCGTTGTCGCCTCTTATGAATCCAGACGCGCCAGCCTTTATTCCCACATTTGCTCGCGACAGCGTCCACCGTCGTGTGTACACTCGTGCAACATTAAAGAATATTGAGTTAAATGTGATCCAAAACATCTCCTGCGCTCCTTTGACAGGCGCCCATTTGACCCTTCGCACACCGAAAGACTTTGCCGCACTTTTAAAGCTTCCATACGCTATTGAGTGGTTGGATGTGGCTCATGTGGTTTCTTTGGTGCGGAGTGGTCATCGTGTCGTGCAGAAAGGCCCGCTTCACAGGGATTCTTGTGATCAAAACCATGGCAAAATCGATAATAAGCGTCCCCGTTGTATTCAGTGCCAGCAGGGTCGGGAAACGTGTACTTTGATCGGTGAGGTGGTTGCCGCTTCAGTACGCCGTGCAGCCTCCAGTCGACTTGGAGCGGCGATGCTTCAATCCGGTGATGTTGTATGGGGTCTGTTGCAGCTGGCTTTGGTTTTTGATGCCCGTCAAAGTTCCTTGCGGCTTCGCTTGCTGGCTGAACGACATCCAGGCGTGGTGGAATGCATTCGACAATACCT